AAATTTATAACTCAATCATAATAGTCGAATTTGAAGTTGGAGTCTTAAATGAGGAAGCGATTAAAATGGCTTCATTCTTCTAAGCTTTAAATACTTTGGAAAAAAAATTGAAAGTGGCTTTTTGATAAAATCAATCAAAGTTTTTAGAAGTGTCTTATCCAAATCTCTAGCTTTAAAATCTTCCCAATATACCTAACAGTGACATTATAGTAATTAAAATTATTATTTGAAAATTGCTCGCTCAGTATATTATTATTTCAGATGGAAAGGCTTTATGATATTTATCATTAGCCCCTTAGTTGACTTCGGCTTTCACAGAGGGGAAGGAACATCAAAGTGAGAAAAATTCGAGAGGAGAAACATGAAAGTGATACAAGGATGAAAAAGGGATGGACAGACACAAAGGCTCAGTATATAAAGTCCCCTCCATGGAAATCGTCTTGCCCTTTGAACTTTCGGAAGAGAGTGCTGTTGTTCACGACTTCGTTTCTCTCGCTTTCTTATAAAATTTAGAATTTTAAGTAGAAACTGTCGAAATTCAGTCATTACCATCACTCACTAAAAATCAAAATCAATGAATCAAAACAGAGATAAACAATATTCCATAAACACGCATTTAAGGCAAAGAATTTGACATTTCTGAAGTACTATTGAAAAAAACAAGCGTTTGGAAGCCAATAGATTTGAATGCTATTTGCCATAATATTGATGGTGAAAGTGCCAGAATAATCAGAAATCCTATATCCTTGAGGAAAACCTGTAAATAAGACAAATTTTTCAATTATCTAAACTACTTAAATAGCCGATGAAAAGGGTTGGTTGCTTAAAATTCGAAAATCACGCGTTTTTATTTCCATGTTAAGGAAGTAAATAAGTCATTAGAAATCGAGCGTCTTTGAAGGTACTAATACCAGCCTCCTTTCAAATTGTATGAACTTGTAGCGGATTACTACGCTAGAAAGCCTGACTGACTCAGAAATCTCTATGGCAGATTCTCCTACATCTAGCTAGACTCCCAGAGCTAGCTAAGCTACAGCCCAGCTATGAAAGGAAACAGACATGTAGCACGAAACACGTTTATTCACTACGAGTATTGCGAATAAAGTGTACACGCGGGGAGCTACTCATGATCAGGATGGGGGATTAGGTTAAACAGAGGTTAATGATTGGTCACTGTTTGTACGGTTGCTGCACACAGAGTTGTACGGCCGCACCTCCCAATCCTGGCGAGCAGACATGCAGGCATACGATGACGCACACAGCGATAACGTGTCCCACATATCCAACAAAATGTTACCAAAGTAAATCTCACCATTAAGTTAAATACACGAAGCAAGGCTTTACTTTCCTCTAATACCACAATTCGTAAAATAAATTCTACTCGAAGCTCTGTAGTTGTATGTCAGTTTAAAGAATGGGATTTTTAGAAATGAAAAAGCCAACACAATAATGGACAATATTTTGGTCTTCACATAAATTTTAGAGGTTCCTAATTTCAAACATATTTCATCAAAATGGGTAACCAATAAGCCTTGGAAGATTTTACACAGTGTCATGTTCATTTATCACATTTTCGATCAAAAAAACAACAATTTCCGGGAAAGAATAATTAGATCATCGATTTTTTAAATGGTTTATGTGCCGACTTAGTATTAAAGTAAGGCGTCTTCCCGACATCATATTATCGTGCAGTTACAGTGCTGGTAATGGGTAGGCATTTTCTTTTCAGGAAATCTGATTTTTAAAGCAAATGCGCCAAATTCCTTACTATTATATACGATCAAAGATGAAACGGCGGAATCTCTGCGACGAACTATTATTTCCGCCGTCGATAAGTATAATTATTGCTCAAATGCACAGAATTTGGCAATGTTGACAAAGTTTTCAGCTGCTGATCGTGCACTAATACAATACATTGTAACCAAATCGTATGTTATTTTTCAGAATAATAAAAATAAAAGGCTTTGTTCTATCACTTATGATGATTTAAAAGTACTTCCTTTAATTTATGTGCTGTTTTATGAATGATTAATTTTTTTATAAACTATGAAATTTTTGAAGGTATTGATCCCTAGGCATATAAAACATTCATTTTTCGTTTTCTATAATTTTTATCAATCTAGGTGCTTGGCTGAATGTGAGAATACGCCCAGTTTACCCGAGCCTAGCTTCGGAAGATATTCATTTCTTATTCCCTCAAAAAACTGTCGAAATATAATCAGGACCTTTCTTCAAATCAATCCGCTGCTGATTAAAGAGTTGGAAATCCTGGCAACTAGTTGTGAAAGTGTCTCTGATCTCGGTAAATTAATTTAGAATGGTGATAGAGATTAATAAATAGGCATAATTATTATTATTTAAGGCTAACACAAAGGTAATTTTTTCAAAAAAACTATTTTAACCCTTACTGAGCCAGTGTAATGCATATACATTAACGGGTTGATTCATTCGCTTTATTTTAATATTAAAAGTTGTTCGCATTGTCAAAACTCCTCTACTTATGTAAACCTCAGGTCTACGCGAGGAAAGACAAAAATGCATGACTGGAAGATTAATGGGCGCCATTCCACAGATTCCCCCTGCTCCGATCACGTCTCATCAAGATCAATCGAATTTTAAACTTCCGGTGAGAGAGGAACAAAGCCATCTTATTACTCTTATCAATGAAAATCAGATTGTGGTCATAGCTGGTCATCAAGGTAGCGGAAAATCTACTCAAATACCTCAAGTAAAGTCTCGCCGTTATTTCTTCTAAAATCTATAAATGCTGTGAATTTGCAAAACATATGGAAAATTGAAACTCATGCATTTTATTTTACATTAGCAAATTGATCACAAAATTAAAAATAGTATGACTATAATTAAATCCGCTTAATTAATTAACCGCCAACTAGTGAGAGATACTATGTCGAAATCAAAAATCATCTCAGTATGATACCAGGAGTACCATATCTGTTGGCAGAAAAAATGCTCTTAGCATCCTTTGACAACTTGTGCTTGTCTCTCGTTTGTTTAATGCAATGCGTTCAAGGGAAAACAATTACTTTTGGGGCCTTTCGTGCATAGCTATTGGATGAAACCAAAAAGTCGGACTTTTGCAATCTAGGAAGTAAGCCGATGAATTCTAAAAACCGTTTGATCTATAACTAAAGTGAAACAGAGCTCTTTTGAGAGCCTAAATAATCAATTTTCTTCGCGATATTAAGACGTTCCTCCTTTTCGAAGGCTTTTCAACTCCCAAAAATCTTAGAGTTGTTCTTTTCTTAACATGTGAAATTGCGATGACACCAACTATGGGAATAAATAAGTCAAGTGCATGGTTTCATCAGGTATAATTTGATATGTGAAATAAAAAAGTTTTCATTGATGAAAGTATGTTTTTTTAACAAAAGAGGAATGATTTTACCTTATCTCTTTCCCTTCGATGAAAGTTTGTAAGTAGCCTTGTCGATAAACATGATGTAAATTTTATGATTTAGGATTCGTATAGAGAAATTTTGGCACACTAAGACCATACTTTTTAAATTTGGAGCTTTTTCCAATTTAGTAGATACTTCATGTAATGATATTTTGTCGCATTAAAACAAGCATCTTTTCTAATAATGTTCTATGTTCTTTTAAATCGTATTAATTCTTGTTAGATAATACTTGAAGATCATTACGCTCGATCGCAACGCTGCCGTGTAATCTGCACTCAACCACGCCGTCTGTTAGCTCACGCCAATGCTGATCGTGTGGCCCATGAAAGGGGCGAAACCGTTGGCCAATCAGTAGGCTATCAAATTCGACTTGAGTCCAAGTAATCTACTCATTTTCTTAACTTTCATCTACTGTGTTTACTGTATAATAATGATTGAACACTTAGAGCATACCTCTTTTGACTAATATTGGGCCTGATTTGCTATCAATTATCTAGATCAATACTTTGACTACGTCAAAACTGCTTGCTTTTTTTCATGCCTAGTGTAATGATAGGATTATTTTTTTCAAGCCACGTTGTATCATCAGTTTATGACATCTGTGATTGTTTTTACTGTTATTGTACACACATCTTTTAGAGCTTCACCCAAAACGGTTCTCACGTTTTGTACCCATGGTGTTTTACTACGGACAATATTTGCGGATCCAAGTCTCCTTAATGCCGTCACTCATATTATTGTCGATGAACTCGAAGAGACAGATCTATTTACAAGGAAATTAGCTGATAATGGGAGAGAAATTCAATTACCAATGAGTATTGACACTAACAAGCATACTTGCAACCTCCTACTAGGCATTTTGCAAAGAATTCTCCCACAGTATTCTCATCTCAAACTCGTATTGGTGGTGAATCTAAATGCGGATTCGGTCATTTCTCCAAATGTTCCTTTTACTTCCACTCCCACAAATCATGAAGTGAGATTTCTAACCTCTTCTGGATTGCCTGTTTAATTAAACAAATCATTGTTTATATTTTGCTGAAAATGTGAATAGGCGGAGAATTTTAGTTGTCATATAAAGGAAAACAGTTTTCAAATCTTAGGTTTTGATTTACTAGATCTCTAGTGAGAATAGCAAGTACATGCACGTAAAAGAGCCAATTCTTCAAACCGGCCTGCCTTTATTTCCCGAGGAATCTTCTAATTTCCCTAGCTATGCGGAAAAATTTCTTATCACTCCGCAATACCAGAGCGCTGTGATTTATTCGTGTATGTTTGTGGATTGTTTATTGATTAAATATTTTTATTTCATTTTAGAATATTTTATAGCATCCTCACCTATTACTTAACATGCCTATTATACTTTAACCTCTAGAATAATGAAAATCAATGTTTCTTTGAAATGAAAAATTTTTAAATAATCAGACAAAACATGACTGAATTTAGTTTTTCTTTGGTGATGTCATTCTTAAGTGTGCTTAGAATTTGGATTGCATGATGCGAGATGTGTGTCGACTTCCTCAAATAATCACTAATAATGGTTTTTATATCTCAGTGAAGACGGAACGAAAGTCGCAGGAGATTTACTTTCTAGAGGATATTCTACGGTGGTTGGATTTCTACACACCGGGAATGGAGTCATTGAAGCAAGTCATCCAAAATGGTAGGTAAAGCAATGTTAATCACCGGTGATGCTACTTTGGGAGCTAGAAAAATGTTGCCAAGGGGTCCATTATGGAAATAGTGCATTTATATCAAATGACTGACATTATAACAGTAATCATTAACCTTTTAGTTGACTTTGAGCTTTAGAGAGGAGTGGGACATCAAATTCACAAAAAGTGGAGAGGGGGAATATAAGAGTGATTAACAGTTGAGAAAGAGACAGACAGAGAGACACATGGGTAAAGAAAAAGTTAAGGAGTGTGTCGTGGAATTGATGGAATATGACATGCAGCGGGGTCATGGTAGTTTGAAGTCAGAAGTCGACTATTGGTTTATAGACTTATTTGCCGTATGAGTATACGTTGCCCATGATGCACTACATATAGGTAAGTTTATCGCTCACCCCTTTATAGAAATAATGAACTTCCTAAGTCTAACAGGAAACAGCAACTTTTAACGAATGACTAGACAAGGTGTTTGGGTTTGTATAAACGTGGAGGGAGCAAATAATATGGGAAAGACATGGGAGGTTTGAGAAGGGCGTCACTACTGGGCGTGAATATCCGTATTGTGATTAGACAGGAGAAGTAAATTTGGTGTAAGGCGCTGATTGATTCTACCTAGTGTGTGTCTTTATGCGATTATAGGATGAGCAGGCGATGAGAAATCATCAACTGCCATTTAGGGGTAAACACTAAAGGGAAGCGATTCAGTTCCATGGGTCAGGGTGCGCAGGCACTACATCAATTTTGATACCTTCCCTATCTCTTCGTCAGATACCCTGTGGGTTCAGAAAATGTTCTATTGGCTGACTGGCACACAAATACCTCGCCATGATGTACATGACGATTCAGTATTTGAGAATAATGATCAGACGGTAAGTACAATTATCATGTCCCAATAAGGCTAATTGAATTTATTTTAAAGGAATACAGGGATATCTTGAATTCTTCCAACTTTCGAAACATTGATAAGCTTATTTGGGCATTATGGGAGAATCTAGTTCTTCGAAATATTAGCGTCTGCAGTAACCAGGTAAAATGGATTTCATTATGTTTATTTTATCATTGTTATAACAAAATTGTTAGCTTTCTTATCGCTATGCCTAGCAGGATTCAGTTTTACAAAAGAATATACAACCACTTATCTCAGATTTACTTCAATCGATCTCTGTAGAATGGATCCCAGTTGACTACAGGCATTCAGAGACGGGTGAGTGGGACCGTTATTTGCACAGTATTCATTTATAACCAGTTTAAACCGAGGCTTCCCAATTCAACCTCTTTTCCTTTACTGTATTCATTTAAAGGAGCCATTGGCCTTTCAATCAGGGATAGCTATCATTTTCCCCTTGCCAAATAGTTCAACTGGTGTTTATATGATAGACCTCCTAACTTTCTTTTAGCAATTTAAATTTCCATTTGAAACCGGTCAAAAAATAAGCTATTTGGGGCTTAGTCATTTATTCAATCATCAGCTTTATCAAGTAGTACATTTGTAAACATGCAGTAAATTGGGGTCAGTTCAAATTAATAAAAGCATTTGCTTTGAGTTGGTAATTTATATGGGCTGACATGATTATTTCCCTTTTTCAAAATAAATTAATAAGGCCAATATTAGGGTTAACTATTTAATTTAATTAATTAAAATCATTGCAATTTTGTGTTGTCTTAGTTTGTTTTAATTTCAATAGGGATAACCCCTTTAATGCTCTTCTCTGCCGCCGGTCAGCATGAAGTGGTGGAACGGCTGCTAAATATGGGAGCGGATGTATTTGAGCGCATACCTCTGCCACTGGCTGCTTTGCCCCCGAGTCTTGTGACTCTCGGCACTGATCAAGCTGCCCCGACATATAACACCCCTAATCACATTTCCGTAATCGGCGCAAACGCTTACGACCTCGCACGTCTCTATGGCCATGCCCACATGGCTGAAATCCTCAAATTACATATGTGAGTAGTTACTTTCCATTGGAAGTTGAATTGAGAGTCTGACATCTCTATTCAGACCTTCTATTTTTCTGCATTTAACCTAAAATCAACCAAGTGTGAGTTTTGATTGACTTGCTATTAATATATATATATATATATATATATCATGGATAGGCCTTATCCAACTCACACATCTGTCCAGGCTATTAGACCAAATTCAAAATAATACTGACAGCCACTTTTAAACGTCTCTGATGGTGGTGGGGGGGNCAGCCTTAGGACCAATTGACTGTCAAATTTTGGCAGAAATAATGTGTGTCCGAGTTTTCAATGAAGCTATTGGGTAAACAAAAGCTAACTTGATGGATGTAACGCAAAAATAGGCAGCTTTGATCTTTTTAGACACCCTCCTCACCACAACTTAAACGTACGCGTTTCTAACTTCACTCTCTCTATATATATATATATATGGGGTGTGCGATAGACTTACCTCCACGTGGTGCACCCTGGGCAACGTATACTCATACGGCAAAAAAGTCTATTATTCGGCAGTTGACTTCTGACTTCAAACTACCAAGACCCCACTGCATTTCATATTCGAATAATTACACAGTACTCACCTCACCTTTTTCTACCTTTGTGTCTGTCTGTCTCTTTTACGTCTGTGAATCATTATTCTGTCCTCCTCTCGACGTTTTGCCACTTTACTGTTTATCTTCCTTTCTGTGAAGCCTGAAGTCAACTAAAGGGTTAATGATACCTATCATAACGCCTGCCATTTGAAATAAATAAATAAATAAATAAATAAATATATATATATATATATATATATATATACTTTTTCAAGCCTCATTTGGTTCATTAAATTACACTGGAGTGAACATTCTCGTCTTTTTTGCCTGGTTTAGCCAAATGCAAAAGATTCAACTGGCGAACACCAAGGACATTTTGCTTGCAGTGATGCCTCTTGTCATGCAAGAATACGAAAAGTTAGATCGTTTTCTGATTGTCTTCACCAGGACAGAAGTCCAAAGCATGCTTCAACAAGACTATCGCATACAGTTTTGTCCCATTGCAGTGGAAGTTCCACCTCGGCTGAAGAAACTCCATCGCACGAGGTAGACTGAAGGCGTCTATTTTTCTCCATAATTTTTAAATAAGATTGAGAACGAAGCACTGATTAAATCTGATGCGTATAGGTAGGAGACACTGCACATAGGGTGCTTCAAGTATAATGAGTCAATAAAACCAAAAAAAATATAACTTAGATCAGTTGAGTGACAGTGTTGATCATTAGACTCTCCATTCGAAGATAAAGTACAAATCTGATAAATTAAAATAACAAGAATAAGTGAATAATCTGCGCGCCCTTTCTATGCTTAAACTTGATTCCTAGATCAAGAGTAAATTGCTTAGATCAGAGATCGGATCATAATAAAATCGATAAAAGAAATGTGCTTGTGAGTCGATGCTAGGGCATCAAGTGAGTTTCAATTTACGTTTGTAGGGTTTGCCTCCAATGAAAGAATCAAAGTCTCTTCCAGCAATTCCGATGGTCGACGAAGGAGATGAAGTCACTTTATCTTCTAGCACAAGAGAGAATGATGCTAGTCAATGTGAGTTCTTCGTTTTCCACCTTTCTATCGACAGGAAAACAGACAGTGAACACAAGCCATGGTGATCAGATAAGTAAAATAAGGAAAGCACGAAAAGGTGTCGAATATGCAAGCGAGATGAGAGTAATGACCAGGAGGTGTGAGGAAGCGGGTCATCTTGACGTGTTGACCACAAGGCAAGACCACCTCGAGCGAGCGTGACATGGAGGCTTTGTGGTTTGCAAAACGCTTTCATTCTAAGACTACTGGTATTGTATCAGTGACTTATCCAGGCTTATTGTCTGGACAAAATGAAGCAACATGCGCAGTGGAGAATTGCAGAGACCAAATGTGAAAATTGAATGCTTCGTGACCAAGCGCATTGGGGAGGCTTTCTGCCATGTCACGTCATAATAAGGGGGAGAGGACAGTGGCTTGCAGGCTTAATTGAAGGTACTTACAGATGAGATATCCTGAAGAATCCTGTGATCGGAGAGTTAAAGTACTGTTCCTACGTGAACATGTGTGCACTCGCTCATCTTAGGATAGGGTACGGTGAATGTAAGCATGCAAAAGAAAGAGAAAAACGGTGTATTGGATAATTTCAGGGTTTGATTATGCTATCAGTTAATAGTACTTATCTCCAATGATAATGGCTCCCCTCCCCTCCCCCCTCTAACAATGGAAATGTAAGTGTGCACTTACTAGGTTAAGAAGTACTCTTTTAATGGTTCAACGATTGCAGTTCCAATCACTTCTACGTTACAATAAAATGTATTATTTGCAGAAGAGCATCTGGTATTCATGAATTTCATGAGTTTTTTATGCATGGACACGATTTTTTTGTGATATGGTTGGAGGGCGGCATATTTGACCGTCGGGAGCCGTGGGAAAGAGAAGGTAGATGGAACTAATGATTGGTGAAATGGTTAGGATATTGATTTGCGCTAACTACTTGGAGTTTGGGGGTGAGACTAATTACACATGATTGGCTGAAATGATGCAGAGGTGCTTTAATCTTCACCATTGATGATAGTGAATATCTTGAGCACTGACCTTGAGCACTGCCTGCATCCTTTCATTCTCCCTCATTATATCTAGCACTACGAAATTGCCTAAGAAAACTCACCATTTAATTAGCCTATTCGAGGGACAGACTTCTTCTTGAGTCAATGTAATCTGTGTCTGTGTCACTCTCCTCAGAGCATTGAGTTGGCCTGCCGAAAACACCCAAGTTGGAATCCTATCTAGCATGTGGGGAACTAGCATACTAGTAAGCCTTGATGCGAGATCTACCTTTTTCGATGTGCTTATGACAACTGACTTTAGAGATAAATAGGTGCATTCGGGTTTAAGAACGCCAGTCCTAATTAAGTGGCAATAAGTCAAAAGGAGTTGATCATGTGGTCTACATCGGGAAACCGATTATTGCAATTTAAAATCAAGGCGAAATAATTATAGAAGAAGGTCCCACCCCGTCATATTTTCTATGCATAAATATATTAAAGTATTTTACTATATATTAAAGTAAATTACTCATTCGTACGTTCTAGATTTGATCAAACAGCAAACAGAAAACACAGAGGATCTAGTTGTAGAGACCACTCAAGCTTTTAAAAATGACGAACCTACTATGCATCACAGCAGGCATCAACATTTGTTCAATCTTCCTGGCAATAACCAAATCGTGGACAATCCGAAACTTATTATTAACAAGGAACCACTTCCAGAAGGTAAGATTAGAAGAAAACCACGCAACAGACGTAGATCACCTCATGGAACAACACATCTCGAGGCTTCTACACCTGATTTGGCTCGTAACAAAGTCTGGTAAACTAACGATACCCATGAATAAATATATTACTTAAACGAAATTCAGTAGATTCTCTTTATATTTGTCGTCTGATTTATTTCAATCTTCAATAGTGGATATGCAGCTACATTGCCTGAAAGTGTTCCTCGTCGAGTTAAGTCTGCTAGTGGAGATATGCTGATGATCGCGCATCAAAGACCAGGTGTCACAGGTGTTCCCCATTTCCAATCACTCAGATATGCTAGAGGTGCTGTAACAACCGGAACTGAACCATGTGAATATATGGAAATCACAGTGGACTCTTATGGAGTTTCTGATAGCCAGATCTTGTTTGAATCCCACCAGCACCAGCTTTCATGCCGCAAGAAGATTTACGAATTCTTCTCCGCCCCAGTAACAAGATTCCACCTACACTTAGTTCGTTTCTTATTTACCTATTTACTTAGAGGCGTTTTTCCCTCCAATTTTCAAATCTCCTTCGTATTTCATTCCAGCTCCATTACCTAGTCTTCCTTTTGATGTTTATATGTTACAGTCTGGTGACTGTGCCCTATCAAAGCCTAAACGGACTGGAAACGTACATCTATCTGTATATCATCACCTATACTCTAGAGAAAGTTCGAGAAGTAAGCAAATCTTCCCTGTAAAATAACGGAAAAGTCTGGATTTTTTGTTTCGCCTTCTGTTTCATTTTGATAGGTTAATTTAGCACCGGGTGTAAATCACTGGCAAAAGTTGCGAGTATTCCTGTCTTCCTTCTGGAATGTATACGACTTTGTTCTCGGTTTCATCTCAGTGATTGGAGTGATTGTTCGATTGTTCGGATTAAAGAATCGAATGGTTTTTCTCTGGGGTCGAAATATGCTTCTATGCTGTTGTCTCTTTTGGATAATGCGATTTTTGGAGTTGATGCAAATATGGCATTTCTCGGGACCGTATATCTACCTCATCGTCACTATGTTGCGAGCTATGATACCACTGCTTGGTCTACTTTTCATTCCCCTAGTGGCCTTCGGAACCCTTCGAGAGGGTATCATGGTGATCAATCGCACCGAATTAACCCTGGAAGCTTTCAAGAATGTCCTCTTAGAGCCCTACTTCATGCTCTACGGTGAAGTTTACGCGCCCAAAATCGATCGTAAATCAACCTGCTGTTTTTTTCCTTAACTAGTTTCAAGAGAACTAATAGTTAACAATTTATTCTGATGTCTGTTTTCAGCCAAGGACTGGGGAGTGGATCTTGATAAGACTCCGCTTTACGAAATGGTTCCAATCATGAATGTTGCGTATCTTCTCTACTCAATTATTCTCTTGTTGAATGTGATTATCGCTGTATTCAACGGTATCTATGGAAGGGAGCTAGCAAAGTCGGAGTTGAATTATAAGTACCTTCAATACTCGATTATTATTCGCTACGAGTCACTATCGCTTCTTCCACCACCCTTCGTGGTCATCTCCTGGATCTACGCCATTGTTCGAAGTATCTACGGGTAAATCAACGCAGAATATGGAAATATATTTAAGTATAGTTTGCTTGAATAGTTTTATTAAGACGGTAAATTGAATAAATGATTAAATGAGGGGAGAAAATGCCAAGTAAGTTGGCAGAGGAAAATCAATTAATTAAACAGTCAAAATCGCTAAGTCGATTAAGATAGTTGGTCAATTTGACTCTAGTCCACTTTGACTGAATTCTCATCTATAAGCTCTGCTATGCTAAGATCATGTAAATTAATTGGCGTGGCAAGGAAGACCTTCACGATTGATACATTGATTCAAAGCACTGGAGATTGTGAATTCGATTAGTCAACCAGGCAACAGATTATTGATCCGCAATTGATATCTATTGCGTTTCTGCTATGCGACATTCATCTAATTCTCGTTGTTTACCATATATCATAAGTAATATTTATTTATTTATTTCAAATGGCAGGCGTTTTGATAGCTATCATTAGTTCTTTAGTTGACTTCGGGCTTCACAAAGGGAAGGGTCATCAAAGTAACAGGAAGTCGAGGGGTGGGTTACAGAAGAGCGATTCACAGATATAAAAGAGGCAGACAGACACAAAGGTAGAGAATAAGGCAAGATGATTGCTGTGGAAGGGGTCGAATATGACAAGCAGTCGGGCTATGGTAGTTTGAAGTCAGAAGTCAACTGCCGGTTAATAGACTTTTTTTCCGTATGAGTATACGTTGTCCAGGGTGCACCACGTGGNCAAACGCTTACGACCTCGCACGTCTCTATGGCCATGCCCACATGGCTGAAATCCTCAAATTACATATGTGAGTAGTTACTTTCCATTGGAAGTTGAATTGAGAGTCTGACATCTCTATTCAGACCTTCTATTTTTCTGCATTTAACCTAAAATCAACCAAGTGTGAGTTTTGATTGACTTGCTATTAATATATATATATATATATATATATCATGGATAGGCCTTATCCAACTCACACATCTGTCCAGGCTATTAGACCAAATTCAAAATAATACTGACAGCCACTTTTAAACGTCTCTGATGGTGGTGGGGGGGGGGGGGCAAATTTCATATGATAATCTAACCTTTTATTATCGCCTTGGACGAATAATTCATGACTTCCATGAGCATGCACACCAAGAACCGTTTAAGGCGGCAATTATTGCCCCAGACCTTGAAATTTATCGCATAATGGGATGTGATATTTTGCACACACTCAATTTACATTGAGTTATAAGATTCCTTGAAAAAAATAAATAATGCGGAAGATTTTCCAGATTCTTATTTGTATTTTGCGTCCCTCAAATATGAAAAATGAGATTTGTGATAATTAAGTAAAAAAGCAAAGGAGTCCCGGTGTGTGATTATTTGTATCAAAAAGGAGACAGAAAGCACGAATATTTTTCACTTTAATTATTTTTAAGATAAATTAGTTGAATTCGGAATTTCGTACGGGAGAAATAGCTCTTTTATTTTCTACTTGTTGGAATTACTTAGAGGTGTATTTGAATGCGTTCTCTTATTATAATTATCTTTTCAACTAGGCATCGAGTAACTAGCTATATGGCCACCTTTGACACGAATCCAATGTAATCAAGTTTGAGATTGAGGATAAAAGTTTGAAGCAAGGGAATAAATTATATTGAGTAAAAATAATTGAACGAATAAAAGCCTTTTAACATATGTTGGTATCGAAGATTAATTCATTACTTACTTGGTGACTGTTCCTTCTATTCGTCATATTCGGACTCACTTCCAAGATAACGAAAGCGAAATGTGAAATCAAATCACCAGCAGTACCTGTAGAAATTTCTTCGTCAGACTACAAAAGAGAAATTTTACAGGGTTGCAGTATTTCAAACCAATATTGTTAAATATTTTCTTTGTGTATTTTCCGAATTTTACAACTTATAGGAGGAATCCCATCTTTCTTTCCTTAGAAATGACATTTATACACATATATTAATTTCTAAAAAAAACAACTTTAATGAACACACTGATTAATAAATTCCAGGAATTCACTTAACCAATTTTGAATAATATCAACTCTTTCATCAAAGCACTTTTATTGGCATACAGTTCTGGCTCCCAGTATTTATCAGAAATTTTATAAACTTTTTTGGTATAAAGTAATCAATACATTTGCTCTACAAGGGCTGCACGTTCGATCGATAATCCAGTGGACGATTGGGAAAGCAATTTGCTTCGATTCGGTTGTTGGTTCGCCAATCCAATACTCCAGACCCCAAGTCTCCTGCATTCACCCCGAAATTCAGAACTTGCACAATCCTATAAAATCTGGGGAAATTTTGATTACAATGAGGCGAATAACCATCGGCTTTATCAAGTTGCTCGAAATCTGTCCGGATCTGAATCTGCCATTGATTTCGATCTTCTCACCCAATTGATTCTAAAAATCGACTCAACTCTCCAACCTGGTTAGTCGAATTTAACACTGACTCTACCTCTAATAGGTGGAATACTCGTTTTCATGCCTTCCTATGAAGCAATAATTACTCTAAAGGAATTACTTACTACCTCAACTAGAGATTCACTAAGGCATTGGTGGATATTTGTTCTTCATGCTCGCATGCTTGTGGCAGACCTAAAGCAAATATATCTACAATCACCTCCGGGCATTCGTAAAATAGTAGATCCTCCATTTGCATTAACGTTTTTGTATCTGTTTTAGATTATATCGACGGATATTGCTGAGCATAACATTTCGATTAGTGACATTGCTTATGTAATTGATACGGGATTAACCTTAAAGGTATACAATCCCAAAATTTAACCCTTTTAGAGAGGAAAAGATTCTAAAACTGGTATTTTGGGTAACCAAAGTAGATGGATAAGGTACAATAGTGCTATTCAACGGCAGTATATGTAAGTTGTTAGAAAAGTGTTTATCCCTATCTATAGAGCACAAATTAGTGAGAAACCAAAGTGCTTTCATTTATTCAGCAAACTCCGAATGGCTTCCCTAGAAAATGTGGAGAATCCATATCATCAAACTTCTTGTTGTTCTATGGAGGTTTGTCACGTCTTCCTCTGAACTGTATTTTGAAATCCTTTAATATTTGTGTGTACTGCCAGGAAGTCTATCTTCAGGCCAAATTGCTGTGTGCACCTGGAGAAAATCTGAGAACTTGCTTTTCATCTCTGCCTCGTCTACCTGACCCTCGTGGGCTGGAGTGGAGTATTAGATACCTACATGTAAAAAATAGTTCAAATGTCTAATCGTCATAGCCACTCCCCCCCCCCCCGCTAATT